GGGTGGATCACCTGAGGTCAGGAGTTTGAGACCAGCCTGGCCAACATGGTGAAACCCTGTCTCTGCTAAAAATACCAAAATATTAGCTGGGCGTGGTGGTGGGCACCTTTAATCCCAGCTACTTGGGAGGCTGAGGCAGGAGAATCTCTTGAACCTGGGAGTTGGAGGTTGCAACGAGCTAAGATTATGCCGTTGCACTCCAGCCTGGGTGACAGAGTAAGACTCTCTCAAAAAAAAAAAAAAAGCAACACTCTGAAGACAGGACTTCGGAGGCACTTCAAATCTGTCTGCTGCTTTGATGACTGCTAAACTGCTGGTTTTTATAGCTGCCATGGTTGTAAGTCTGCTGCTGGTTTTCACAGCTGCCATGGAGCTAGGGAGAGGGGTATGGACATGGAGCAAGCTAAAATGACAAAAAGCTCTCTGTCCTTACCACTATTAAGCAACTTTTCTTAAATAAATGCTCCTTGAGTTGTTGCAAGCCTTTAGCTCATTTCCAGAGTTATGAAAAAGTTAATTTTTACAATTTTTTATCAGTTTTATTGTTGTCTTTAAGGAGGACCAGATTTTTGGAGGTTCTCGCTCTGCCATTTATGAAGATCTACTTCAAATCTATAATATTTTAACCTGATACTTCCTGCTCAAGTACTTCTTATTTTTGTTTGTCTGAAATGATAGGCCTTTATGAAGCTGCACCTGTGTTATAAGACTTCTGAGCAAAAGAATCTCTGATATTTCCATGCTAGAGGAATTATTCTTTCATAATCTAGATTATCCTTGTTGTACATATAGTAACTGTACGACACAAAAGAAGCCATAGATAGAACTATACTGTCATACCAAATAAACCCTGTCTTGCTAATCCCATCCAATTTCTTGACCTTCTGGTATACAGGGTAACATCCTAATCCATACCTACATCTCATATTACACATCTCTTCCTCAAGGGCATGGCATATAAATTCATTGTTAGCCCCGGCTACCCACTCTACCTGACCTCTCAGCCCTTCACTCCCTCTGTTCCTAGCTTTGCTGCCACCAATAGAAGCTGGATTAGCCTCCAAGGTATAAGAATGCCAGGGTAGGTAGGTCAGTGTCTATGCCCTCCTTTTCTTTTTTGTGATTTCTCAGGAGTTCTTATATGTATAGATTGATGTGTTATGACTTGCACATAACCAGATGTCCAATCCTTTTGTTATTGTTGCTGTCTATCCTTTTATGAAAGTTAGAAACTCAACCTACACATTTAATTTTTATAACACTGATCACTTTGTTGTCAGTTTCTTCATCTATGTTTCTTTCACATTGCACAAAACACCATGAAGTTAGGGGTGTTAGGTTATTTTTCTTTATATCTTTAGGGCTTAACAGAGGCCTGGTACATATTTAACTTTCAGTCAATGTTTTTTTAAATTAATGAATGCCTACATTTCCTAGTAAATTCTACAGATAGAGACCTTGTTTAGACTTCCCAACATGAAGCTAAAACTCTACACTCATATCTCTAGGTGTGATATCCCCATCAGCTTAAGAAATTTGAGTGTTCTGGTCTCTGTCGCTCTCAAGGTCATGGCTTTATAAGGTGCTTCTCAGTGTGACCCTCATTCACCCTTCCAGCCACATTTCCCATTAACCTAGAATCCTAACCTAAGCTTCTCTGGTCCACACACACATCATATGTTTTTGTTATGCCTTGCACCTTTGCAGATTAATGTTATTTTTTCAGTTCTACCATGAGAAACTTGTGTTTATTCTGAAGTGCCAGCTAAAAATCTACTCCTTCTCTAAACTCTTCTTTTACTTTCTTAGTAGATTTAGTCCCCCTTTTCTCTTTGTTCTAACAAGACTTTGGACATCCCTTTCCTTATTACATTATCGTTATCAAGTTATAATTATTTATTTATATATCAGTTCTTATCAGAGTGCCTGCCACATGAAGGAGACCAAACAATGTTTGATGAATGGTAAATGAATGTTTACCCCTCAACTAGATTGCAAAGATCCTGAAAGTTGCAGTGTGTGTTTATTCTTTGTGCTCCAAGCATTGTCCTGGTCCATAGCAGGCTCATAATATTGTTTCTAATGAATAAATGAGAGATATCAGAGAGGATATCTGCTTAACCATGGAAAAGTTAAAGGACCATCCTGACCAAATTGCAGATGCAGTGTTTCAGGTGTACCAAACTGGCTGCTGTTGGCAGGACCACAGAGGGCCTTTTGTGAAATGGAAAAAGGGTCCCCATCTGGCTGGAAATGACTGTAAAAATGCAGGCCTTGGTGAACAGAAAGGCCTTTTTACAAGGAAAAAGGAGCCACATTTTGGATGAAGCAGTCTCATGCCAGGAACAAGGCTTAGCAATCTGAACAGAGGGTAGATTTCATACTCTTGTTCCACCTTTGGACAGGTGTGTGTCCTTTGTAACAGCCCTGCTTGTCATATACTACAAAGGACTAACTTTCTCTCTCACCAGGAGTCACTGCATTCCTTAATGTGAGAAGAGGGTCCTCCTTGTATTGAGAACCAAATATCATCCATCTTCAATTATTGAAACAACCCATTTTTTTCCCCAGGGCAGATGGTCTTTTAAATAAGACAAGAATCAGTACATCTTATGAGTATGACCTTTGTAATGGTATATTTGGTTGAGAAAACAATCCCTTTTTTGTCATAGCCTAATTTTTAGGCAACTGGTGCCAGGGCTGATGATTTGGGGATATTATCTAACACTTTTAGTTTCTTTAGTTTAAAATGTAAACTGGAAATATATTTTGTAAATAACTTAAAGTTATTCATCTTGGAAATAATTTAATTCTAAGAATACTCATCTAACTCTGAAAGAATTCCCTGATTTTGAGTATTTTTATTCCTTCACAAATAGTGAAACTTGAGAAGATTTTTTTTTTTTTTTTTTAAAGTAAATAGTCAAGACAATTTCTGGGAGGGCAGCTACCACTTACCTTGTAAGAGGATGTATTCCCTCACTAGATGGCAAGAAGGGAAGGAGATAGGTAGTCTCTTAGCAAGTAAGGATTACTATTAGAGAGGGAAAAGTTTTTCCTAACACACATTTCTTAATTCCCTCAGAGGTCATCGTTTACCTCATATGCTCTGTCTCTAGAGCAAAGATGTCCCAGTGGTTTTTCCGTGTTCAAAAACAACTGTTGATTATCCTGCCATTCTGATTCTACACATGCTTTAACAAGAGTAGGCTTCCACCAATTTACACACAAGTTCTGTTCCCCAAATTTGATTGATTAGACATACGTTTCCAGAGAGAAGTATTATTAGACCTGTGCACTTTGGCCAGTTCGTAAAATACATTTAAACCCTAGTAGGTAACTGAACTATAACATTAACAGGCTTGTTAACTGCATTCTGGGAGCCACATGATACAAGTGAGAGAAAGAGAAACCTCTTCTTTTTCTTGAGTGCAGGGCTAAGCTTTGACAAAATTTGGAAATGGGTAATGTTTCCTTTTGGACTCTCCCTCCTGAATTAGCATGCCCCTAAAATCTGTAGCCCAGGGTTATATATAACCCAGACCAGAGCTCTGACCGATGGCTCTCAGTTCACATCTTTCCAATTATGTGTAGTGAGCAAAGCACACAGGACTCCTAGGATGGGAAGGGTGTGAAAGGACGACTATGATGGAAGATCAAAAGGGGTGATAGATGCCTTTCTAGAGAATGGAAGCACATGTCATTGATTTGACTATCTTCTTTCACAATCGTATTCCTCAAAACATGGTCTGCTTTACCTGAGTCATTATAGACAAATGTTGTATCTCCAACTGTATGGTGATTTGTGGAGAAACGGATTGTAAAACTGGACCTGAGAAGACCTTTAAAAAAGTATATTTAGTCTCATGCTGAGAAGGTTTTCTTGTAGCATGCATTATCTCTTCTTGTCTCCTCCAAGACCTGTTTCTCTTTTATTAATTTAAAATATTTTATTTGAAGTTTGATTGATGCAGCATAATATACTAAATATATGTTGCTAAATATTTCTGTTAAAAGAGTTATTAATACACAGAGGAAACAGGACAGTAAGTTACACCACGTGACCAGAACATGAATTCAAGATACTGCATCACTATTTTTGTTGACATTGGCCATCTCGTGGTGCTGGCTCCTCATTCATATTTAGAAATCACTCTTATATTTCCTCAGCTCCACATCCTTTTAGAGGATGGGTGCTTTTAGGTTAGATTGTAAGAGGCTCAAAAACATGCTAAGGCCGGGCGCGGTGGCTCAAGCCTGTAATCCCAGCACTTTGGGAGGCCGAGACGGCGGATCACAAGGTCAGGAGATAGAGACCATCCTGGCTAACACGGTGAAACCCCGTCTCTACTAAAAAAAAAATACAAAAAAATTAGCCGGGCGAGGTGGCAGGCGCCTGTAGTCCCAGCTACTCAGGAGGCTGAGGCAGGAGAATGGCGTGAACCCGGGAGGCGGAGCTTGCAGTGAGCTGAGATCCGGCCACTGCACTCCAGCCTGGGCGACAGAGCGAGACTCCGTCTCAAAACAAAAACAAAAACAAAAACATGCTATAAGATGTTATACACGCTTTGTCTATATATATAAATGTATGTTTTCTTTTCTGTAAAAAAGGTTCCATAGCTGTCAGATTTTCAAAGGTATCTGTGATTCAAAAACAAAAGATTTAGAACCACTACCTGAATGCAATCTCTTGAGAAATAGTATACTAGGAACAGTATATCAAGTTTAGGTGTTGTGAATTCTGTATTCACTTCTGAAGAAATTCTACTGTCAATTTAGGGCAGAAAATTTTAGTGCAGTCATTTAAGAGAAATGAATGCATGGAGTTCAAGTAGGCATGGTCAATAAAAAATCTCAATGTATTTACATTAGAGTGGTTTTACAGAGGAATGATACAGCTAAAAGAACATGAAATAATTCAAAATATTAGATAATAATATTTCTGATGTTTGTTGTCTTTAATGCCAATGTCTAATTATGTAAAATATTTTACTGTCCAGGGTTTCAAGTGCCAAACTTAATAATTTTTCTCGTTTGGAGCCAACACTTCACCTTCTGGGTGTACAGTTTGATCAGAATGTGGCCCATGGCATCATCACAGAAAAGCCTGGGGTGGCAACAAAGCTGTTATATCAATTGTACATTGCTCTTCAGAAAAAGAAGAAAAGTGGACTGACTGGAGTGGAGATGCAAACCATGCAACCTCTGACAAATTTAAGACTTCAACACATGAAAAGTGAAACTTTTCGAGAGGTAAGTACATAAAAAAGCGTAATAAGCATGTCACAATGTAAAATTTGATAAAGAGAAATGACAATGATATTGAATTCTCAAAGAAACATCATTAGGCATATATATCCCTTACATATGTTACTGGCCATACTTGGGTTTTATTTTATATTAATATTTTGAATTTATTTAGCCATTTTTGATGTCTCTATCCTATCCATATTGGCAATAGCTTATCAAACTCTTTTCCTAATTTCCAGTACTTTTTGTTGTTGTTGTTGTTTTAGAGAGACAGGGCCTTGCTTTTTTGCCCATGCTGGTCTTGAACTCCTGAGCTCAAGCAGTCCTCCTGCCTGAGCCTCCCGAGTAGCTAGGACTACAGGCCTAATACTTTTTGTGCCTGCTCCTCTCTTGCTGTTTCTACCCCATCATATCTGCCCAGATCTTCTTATCAGCTACTGCAACAACCTGCTAAAATGTCTCTCAATCTCCCGGATAAGTCAATCAACTGCTAAATGAATCTTCCCTAAATTTTACTTTTATTGGATTCTTCTGCTCAGAAACCTATTTTTACTTCTTTCTAGTCCTCAGCATGGTATTTCTTTCTTCTATGTGAATTGACAGTCTGTCCTTAAATATGACTGTCTATTCCTGCTTTTCCTTCCCTCACACCCAAACTCACCCTTCTCATCTCTCCTCTTCCCCAAACTGTTCCTCATGTACTGTGCAGCCCAGTACACATGGTTTCTTCCTTTGGAACTCTAGAGTGTAAGTAATTCTCACTCTCTTGGTTTTACCCTCCTGATACTGATATTGTTGGCTAAGTATTCATTATTTATTTGTCATATGACTTTACCAGATTTTTAGTATATCAGACTTGATGAATATGTCTAGTACAATGCTTCAAACGTTGTAAATACTCATTAAATGTGTTATTGACTAATTGATATGACTTTTTAGTTGACAATTCTCTCCCGTTCTTATGCATTTCCTATGGCAAATGAAGTGTGTTAACTTTTACAGGCCTCTGGAACAATCATGAGTGCTGCACTCATGCAAAATAGTAAATATCAATGGATAGAATTATATTTTTAAATTTAATTTTTGAAGAAGCAATGGCATAATAGATATGAGGGCCATCTCCATGTTTATATTTGTCCATTCTTCATGGATATCATTATAAGTCTAGTAGCAGAATGGACTCAGCACTCCTTGAGAGCTAGAAATTAGATTAGGCTTAATATGAATAATTTAATATTGCATTCAGCCTCCTTCACTTGCAAGCTGGTTAACATTGAGCGAGCCTCTAAACAACTCTCAGCTTCAATTTCCCCAACTATAAAAACAGGATGCTTATTTCTACCTGCCTCAGAGTTCAGAATTGGACATTTTTGTAGCTTCAAGAGGAAGAGTGGACTAACTGAAGTGGAGTTTATATATAATAAAATGTAAAGCGGTCAACAGTGGCAAGTGCTATAAGAGCTGTGTAGATGAAGACAAACAAGAGCCTATTAGCTCATTTGATGTTGGTCATGGGTGAACTTCCAGAGTCAATAATTCATTCACTGAACAGATATTTATTGGGCTCCTACTTTTTGTCAAGCACTTGCACAACAAACACACAGGAAAAGCCCCAGCCCTCTGAGAGCTTACATATTAGGGAGAGAAAAATGTTTCATTAGAGTGATATGAATTGCAGTGAGTTGAGAAGGACTTTGGAGATGAGGAAGAGGGTAGCATAGATTATTCTTTCAAGAAATGTGGAGGTAAAGAAGAAAACAGTAGGAAAGAAAAGCTCAAGTGAAGTATGAGATTGCTTGTTTTATGGACCTAGAGACTGGGGCCACTTATCAGTTGAGAAAAAGAGTCAGTGGCAGGAAAGATGAAAATAGTACGAGAACCAGATAGAAAGAGACCCTCTGGGGACGGAAAGAGGACTATACAATCAATGGTTCATGTGGAAGAGGTGATATCTATCGTAGGAAAGAAGTAGAGATGCCGTCTTCTTTGATACTAGATGAGAAGAAATGCAGGTAATATTAATAATGGTTGAAATTTATTGAACGGCATGCCTAGTGATGTGCCAAGCCCTGTTTCAGGTGCTTTATGAATATTATTTTACTTGATCTTCACAACAGCCGTAAAAGATAGGTACTTTCATTAATCCCATTTTACAGAGGACGAAACTAAGGCACAGATGGATTAGGTAACTTGCCCAATTTTATGCAGCTAGTAAGTGGGAAAGCTGAAACACAAACCTAGGAAGCTTTAATGTTTCTTCACTTTTTACTAAGCAGTGGCTAAGCAATGGGAAGAATCGAGCTTCTTATATTATCTTTTATATGTTAAAATTGGTTTAATGAAATTATTTTTGCAAAAAATATATTTCCAAGAATATAAATACCACTTACTGAAAATTAAACTCAGTGTAAAAAGTTTAACTATAAAAGTATATACGAGGCTATTTTGTAAGAAGGAACACAAAGGATAATGTTTTTGTAATTGCACTTACATCAATTAAAAATATGAGTAATTGGAACGGGCTTGAATTTAGCTTTAACTATCAACAATAGTAATTTAAAGAATTTCATTTTGAAGACAAATTTTATTTGTGCTTATAATGAACATGTGCTTTTTATTCTCTAATAACAAAATCTTTTGAAATGCTTTTTTCATTTAGAGACTTAGACACATGATCCCACGTCAAACTGATTTCAATCTGATGCGGATTACATACAGGTTTCAAGAAAAATACAAACACGTGAAAGAAGATCTTGCCCATTTGCATTTTGAGAAACTTGAAAGATTTCAAAAACTCAAGGAAGAGCAAAGATGTTTTGATATCAAAAAGGTTCTATAGAACTATTTTTTCAGAAATTCATTAGTGCATAGTATACAGTTTGTGATTTATGCCTACAGTACACATTGCATAAGCAGTAGTGGAGCACAAATTGCACTTTCCTGATGCATGACTTTGTCCTGCCCTACTCTCACCCTTTCTCTCTCCCCTGCTCCTTTTCTCCACCCTGACTCTTGCTGACTGTCACCTCTACTTGTGGCTGAGAACAAGAACTGCCATCCTGTGGAGTGGCAAGATAACTGCGTTGCTTTCACTGGTAAAAATCATTGTTTCAGCTGCTTTAGTGATGGAGGGTTGCTACTAGCTACCCCATTGGTCAAAGGCGCTTGCCATTGTCACCACTGAGGGAGATAGATCAGACATTGTCCCCTCGCTTTCTCCTCTTTTGCAACTTTTGGTCCTGCCCCATTTCTCTGTTCTTGGAAATGTGAGGTAATCCTTTGCTTGCTTACCTTTTCAATCACCTTGAACAACGCTTAACTTATTTCTGGCCCTTGCTTCTTGTTTTGACTAACTCTCTGCTCCTTCTGGCTCTTTAATGATCTTCTGTGCCTTTGTGGATGAGAGAATACTGGTACATGGAATCATTAAAGATTTTTAAGAGTATTTCAGGTGACTGGGTATATGGAATGTGTAAACTACAGGCAAAAGAATTATGTAGTTCTTCCCATTGCCCTGCAAAATCACTTTTTAAATTCATGGATTTATTTGGAATGATAAGAAATTCTATTCTGAACATAGTCAGCTCTTTGTAGGGAAGAATGGAAAGATGACAGACAAACTGGAAGATCACTTGCAAGCTGGTTAACATTGAGCCAGCCTCTAAACAACTCTCAGCTTCAATTTCCCCTACTGTAAAAAACAGAGATGCTTATTTTTACCTGCCTCAGAGTTCAGAATTGGATGTTTTCATAGCTTCAAGAAGAAGAGTGGACTAACTGGAGTGGAGTTTATATATAATAAAATGTAAAGCAGTCATGTAATTCTATGACTTGCCAGAGGGTAAATAAAGGATTATATTTCCCTTTGGTGTCACATGATAAAGAGAGAACGCACTCTTAAAGTAGTGTTTAAGTTGAGGCCAATTGCAGTGACTCTAATTTATGTGGAACCAGCCTGTTCATTAGTGCCAAGCTTAATGCAGACGGTCTCCAAGAAAGTTGAGAAAAAGGAAATATAATACCATTAAATATTCTGAAATAAATTATGTTCAAAATGATCATAGGGAACAAATAAGGCAAAAGGGAGACCCTGTGTCTTCCTGGTTTTAAGAAAAAAAGATATACATATTGCAATTAAATAAATATTCATATTTTGGAAAATAAAATAAAAATTGTCTATTGTTTATGCCTTTTTAATGGTAAACTGAAATTTTTATCTTTGGACATGGAAACTAATGATCATATTCATTCTAATATAATGTATTAGTAGTAAAGTCATGATTAGTTTCACATATTACCTCTTAAATCATTTAAAATACTTTATCTGACTTTCAGTCACTTTTTCTTTTCAGTTACATTCTCCTGCTTATATTCTTCTTAAAATAACTACTGCCTACATACAGAAGAGATGATCCAATAATTACATCACATAATTTAGTGTTAATTCAATGTTTGAGGTTGCCCCTGAACTCATTGTTTAAGTGTGACTGGGTTTTGGGGAAGTTTGTCATTTTTATTGGGTCTCCCAGGAGCCCACCTAGAAACTGTCTCCTAGATAGAATTTTCTAATTGGACCATCTTCAGAGATAGAATTTTTTTCTTCCCATGCTTGGTAAGGTCATGACAGTAGGATTGGGAAATAATTATACTCTTATTTATATTTGGGACATCTTTATTGTCCTTTTAGTATCAGCACACAGAATGAAAATACAGACATTTAATAGATACGATTTTCAGATTCCAGAATTGTGTTTTAACATCATACTTTTCAGAGTAAGTCATATTGACACCTGCTTCATTAACATTACACAATTGTGACACCTAGTCCCTTGGCTAATTGCTGGGTTCTGAAAATTTCAATAGATAAATTTTATATATTTATACCTATGAGTGTATTATATTGCCTATTCTGTTATTCTGAATCACTAAACTAATGTATATGGGATATTCAGCAATACTTAAACAGAAGACGACAAAACGAAATAATGGCCAAAATCCAAGCAGCTATTATACAGATTCCTAAACCTGCATCAAATCGTACTTTGAAAGCACTCGAGGCCCAAAAAATGATGAAAAAGAAAAAAGAGGCAGAGGTAAGTGATAATCCTTTAATATTGTGCTGTGTTTGTCTTAACTAAAGAATAGTCTCCCCCTGAAACATATAGAGAGACCTTCCAAAACTTCACATTTGCTTTCCAAATTATCTCTGACTTTGTCCTTTCTCATTCAGAATTCCTCTACTATATGCATATTCAACTCATTTTATATTGTTATTTGTTCAGAACGAAGAATATAGCTTTAGGCCAGCAATGGCAAACTCCTATTAAATGGCAGTCTGGACTCCTGTGTTGAAAAAGATTCTGTGGTCAATAACAAAGTAGGTCAGAATGGGTGCTGTTGTAATGGGTCATGTCTTATCCATTTGTGTTGCTATAAAAGAATACCTGAGGCTGGGTAATTTATAAAGAAAAAGAGGTTTATGTCGCTTATGGTTCTGAAGGTTGGAAGATTCAAGACTGGGCATCTGGTGAGGGCCTTAGTAAGGAGAAGGGGGAGGGGAAGTGGAGCCAGCATGTGCAGACATTACATGGGGAGAGAGAAAGTGAGAGAGAGCGGGTAGGGAGGGAGAGAGGGAGAGAGAAAGTGCCAGGTTCTTTTTAACAACCAGCTTTCATGGGAACTAATAGAGTGAGAACCCACCCCTAGGGAGGGAATCAATCTATTCATGAGGGAAAAAGAGAGTGAGAGAGGAGGTGCCAGGCTCTTTTTAACAAATAGCTCTCATAAGAACTAACAGAGTAAGAATTCACTTACCCCCAGGGATGGCATCAGTCTATTCATGAGGGATCCACCACCATGACCCAGACACCTCCCATTAGGTTCCACCTTCAACATTGGGATCAGATTTCACATGTGGTTTCAGGGACAATCATACAAACCATAGCAGGTCATAACTGCCATGGGTACAGCAGGGGCCAGTCAAGGTACACATAGCATACATATGCCATGCCTACTATATACTTTTACTTAATTCCTCCTCATCGTACCACACTATTTTTCTATGAATCCCAGGAATGTTAAGTGACTTATTGCTACCAGTATATTTACATTTAAGATACCTATACCAGTGACATTTTACTAGACCACAGCAACTGTCAATCATTTCAGTAAGATGCAATCTGATTATATTTCCCAGGAGAACAACGTTACAGTTCAGTTTGATACAAATTCCTGCAATTCACACTGCATACTGCTGCAATGATGATTCATATTCTGTCATGTGACCTATAAAGATGATTAATAGCTACCATTTTTTGAATATGCACTGTATATCAAGCTGTGAATTGGACACTTCACATTATCTTTAATTTGTAAATAACTCTCTAAGTAGGGTATTCTTTTTCCAATTTTGTAGATGAGGAAACTGAGACCCAGACAGTTGACATGTTTTACCCAGTGGTAGTAAAGCAGAGATTGACAAATCTCTCTGATTCCTAAATCCATTGAATTTTACATTAATTCACATTTTTTTGTTTTTTAAATATTAACAAAATATTCTGTGCTCGGATTCTAAAATTACCACCTACAGAGGCTTTTATCTGACTCCATTTCTGTATCTACCTCTCGTGTGTCCCTGAGTTGATTAAAGTGTTTTTCTTTTTTTCTTTTTTGACACAGTCTTACTCTGTTGCCCAGGCTGGAGTGCAGTGGTAAAATCATGGATCACTGCAGCCTTAACCTCCCAGGCTCAAGTGATCCTCCCGCCTCAGCCTCCTGAGTAGCTGGGACCACAGGTACGCAAGGCTGGTCTCGAACTCCTGGGCTCAAGCAAACCGCTGGCCTCGGCCTCCCAGAGTATTGGGATTACAGGTGTGAGCCACTGCACCTGGCCTGATTAAAGTTTTTTTAAAAAATGTTTGTAAAACACAAAGGTGAGTTAAAGTTAAACTTCAGATAACAAATTAATAGTGTAAATAAAGTTGCATGAGGAATGTTTAAAACACCCGAGACAACAATTTTTAAAGAAATATTTGACTTTGGGAGGCCGCAGGAGGATCACATGAAGTCAGGAGTTTGAGACCACCCTTGTCAACATGGTGAAACCCCATCTATATTAAAAATACAAAAGTTAGCCGGGTGTGGTGGCACATGCCTGTGATCCCAGCTACTTGGAAGACTGAGGCAGAAGAATTACTTGAACCCGGGAGGTGGAGTTTGCCTTGAGCCGAGATCGCGCCACTGCATTCTAGCCTGGGCGACAGAGTGAGACTCACACTCTGAGTCTCAAAAAATAAAAATTAAAAAAAAAAAAGGCTCAAAAAAAAAAAAAAAAAAAAGGAAGAAAGAAAAAAAGAAAAAGAAGTATTTGTTTCCAAAAATGTATGTCCTGACTCTTTGATAATCTGTATTCTAATGAAATGCCCTTTGGTGCCCTGTCAAAATCATGAAGTAAATGATTCAGGGGAGGCAATTTTCACATTCTTTTAGGTATAGTTATCCCAGTCTAAAAGCAACAAATCAAAATTATAAAAAAAATTTTAGAATGCAGCTTTTCATATCCTAATTACCTTGAATTAGTAGTACATGTCATTTTATAAACTTGAATGAATATGGTAAATGAAGATGTTTCAATGGTTTTTAGATGCAGAGAAATGATAATGAATTTTCTTTAAAGGATGTGGCCAATGAAATTAAGAAGTTCGAAGCATTAATAAAAAAGGATCTCCAAGCAAAAGAAAGGTGAGATGTGAGCTATTTTAATAATCACAAAACTGCATTATGTTCTACACTTAGCTTTTGAATATTTAGAAATAGTTTATCTGGAAGAGCTATTCCAGGATCTTTTCACTCTGAAGAATCTTGATTCAAGAGTATATTAGGGAAGATAAATGAGCTAAAGTTCAGATTGTTTGTTAGCAACTTTTATAAACATCTAGAGAAAGTGACTATTATGAAATGTAAAGTTGATTTATTTTTCTGTGCTATGTTTATTATTCTAAGTTCACACATATTTTTTAAACATTCACTAAAATTGTTTCAAGGTACCACTAATTTAAGTTTGTCACAGTAAATCCTTTATTAGACTCTCAGCATAGACATCAGCAGTAGGAAGTTGAGTGAATGAGTTCATTGAACAAATGTCACTAAGACCGTCACTTTGGTGGGTTCATTGAACAAAGTTCCTCATTAATTGGCTTCATTTACCTAAAGATAAAGCTCCTTCACACTTTGTTTTCTATGGGAGGTCATTGATTCACAGTAAGTAATTCATTAGAGATGATATATGTAGGAACAGCTTGGGTTTTTTTTACATTTTTAAATGGAAACAATCCAAACTCTATGCATTTACATCTTACGAAATATGAGATAAATCTCTGTTAAAGAAGGTACTAATTTTAAAGAAAAGCAGAAAAAAATTACATACTTCAGTTTTATATTAAAATTTTCTGAAGGAAGGGAGAGACAGTCAAATGAGGAGGAACAAGGACAATCAGAGCCATAAGGAAGAAATGATGAAGTCAGATGTAAGAAAGAAAATCAAGCAAAATGGAGAATACTTATGTACATCACCTTTCCTCCTACCCTGTGTGGAAACACCTGATGCCCTATTCTGATTCCCACTCCCATTTATCAGTGTTGCTTCTGACCCATAAAAGCAACATAATCCACGTCTCCTTATCCATGCAGCCACCACTTGAACCCTAGTACACACCTACCCTGACCTTGGCCCATGAAAACACCAATTTCTTCTAATTCTTTCACCCACTTCTCTAGCCACAGGCTCTGTGGTGATAAACAGATGGTGTCCACCAAAAAGACCATCTTAAACTACTGAATACTTTGCTACTTGATGAATGCTACCTTCTGTAGCTCCCTGGCCTGCCCCTGTCCTGGACCCCTCAATTTCCACACAGTTTAGCAACCAGAGTTAAGATGAAACACAGCACTGTCTCCCACGCCCTGCACCAGTATCTATGTCTATTGGTTAGTGTCCTTGCCATGTCAGTTATTAAATGTCTTAAAGATCATCCCTGTGCATTACAGCTGCAAACATTTACCTGCTCCCTATTGCCTTTGCCAACCCAACCAGACCCTAGGTCTCTATCAGTTAGTTTCAGAAACCCCAGAACAACAGTGAATGAAATTAGAGGGAAATCTGCTTGTCTCTCATGTAATAGAAAGCAGAAGGTAAGCAGCCCATAGCGTATGCTGTAGCTCCAAGGTTATCAAGGACTGAGGCTCCTCCTCTCTTCACTTTTGCCTCACTGTCCTGTTGTGTGGTTTTCATCCTCAGGGTTACATTCATGATACAAGTTGGTTGCTGGGACTCCAGCCACTTGGCCCATGTTCCAGTTATCAGGAAGGAAGACAGACAAAAAAGTTGTCTCCTATCTGAAATAGCTTCTTTCAAAAGCCTTCCCAGAAGTCCCATGTAACATTTCTGCTTTTATCTTATTGGAGAGCATTCAGTCACATGGTCACACCTGGCAGAGTGGGAAGCTGGGAAATGTAGTCTTTAAGTGGACACACTGTTTCCCTGCATAAAGTTGGGGCTCTGTTTTGAGAGAAAAGGGAGGGGAATAGTAGTGTCAGGTCCCTTGTTCACAGAAGCCTCCACTTGGTCCTGCCAAAGATTTCCAGCAGAGGGCATCTGAGATATTGACACCCTCACTTACAGTAGGAAGAGAAGGCCTGGGGCAGCTGAAATCCCTGGGCCAGTTACCTCTGGCTGTGAACAGCTTCATCTGAGAATCTAAATCCTTTCCAGTGTGTTGCACAAAGTTCCTTTTCTCTTTTGGACTTAAAAAGAAATATGCTGGGAAGCACTGGCCTAGAGCAAACTTTTCAAGAAAACAGAGGCTATGGTTACCATATAGGGCCCTTCTTAAGCCATTTCATTAATCACTACTTTTTTAGTTCATGCTGAATCTTAGCTTAGAATCAAGTGTGTTCTGGGCACATTGAGAAACTTCATACTAACTTGACGCCAGAAGGCAATAAAATCTCCCAGCTTGAACCGCAGGAGCACTTTCTGCAGCTGCCTCTTTCATAGCCTGCTCCTGAACAGTTTCTCAGGATGCCACCTCAAAGTCCCCTGTTTTTCTTTTGTGGAAGAATGATATGATGTCTCATGTCAGCAATGCAAGAGCCCTCATGACTGTTTTTTTCCCCATGTAACAAGGTTCCTCCATTTTTTCATTTTTTATATGAATAATAAATACTATCTGCTATTTGTTCCTTTAGCTGGGGTTATCGGCTGCTGTAATTTGGTATTTGGATTAATAGATTTATCAGAGGCTTTTCCCAGCAACTACTTTTTAAGAAATAGAAATTTGACCAAGGTTTCTGCTACTAATAGATTATACACATACAATTATTACATTGGATGAAGGTCTGGCAAGCAAACAGATAAAAAGAAAATATAATCACTGCCCTCAAGAAACTTACATCTAGTAAAATGAATATTTATTCAAGTACATAATGCATAGCTTTTTTCACCTTTATTGGAGTAAGACAACAGATGGATGAGTTGACTAATTGATAAAGGTGAAGCAATTTGTTAAGTATATTAATGACAGCATAAATATTGTGTTGAGAGAGGTGTTAACCCATGCTCAATCCAGGGCAGGGGCTTTTTGCACAACACACTTAAGTACAAATATAATAAGATTTTTGATGAAAGATCTAAAAGTGTTACGCTGCACAATTAAATACTAAATCTTAATAAATAGATAGGGTTAAACTCTGTCTTTGGCCTTACTGAGTGCTTGCTACCTACATAATGTGTGCTCAGCTCTTCTCAGTGACAGAATACAATCAAAGGTTGAGCCCCTGCTGATAAAATGATCGGAACTTTAGTTTGATTTTTATGCATGTATGGTGCTTTTTAGCACATTATTTGAAATTTAGCAGACATCAACTTCTTGCCAGGCATGCTAGGCACAAGTGCAGACAGAAGAAAAATAGGATACTTCTCTTATTCACTAGGAGATCAGCTGGGAGCAGCAAACCTCCAAATTATGACCTTATTACAATATGGTCTATATTATAAATATGCAGGTATTACATCATTAAACATCAAACATGAGCTAACTTTGTTTTTACCACAGTACTTGTGTCTGTATAAGAATTGATGACAAGTCTCTACACACTTTAATAATGTGTCCTTATTTTTTGAATAAGATTATAAGTAATATTGTAAACCAAATTTATTAATTACTTGTAACAAAAACAATGATTATACATAATATAAAAATTCATTATTTCTAGGCAAGTAACATGGTATACTTTGTACTATTGTATTATTCTGTTTACTTTTTGAAGAGGATGCAGATGAGAATTGCTGATTATTTGATCTTTATATACATAAAAATGTATCTTTTAATGATAAATTTGAAATGAATCTATGAATTCTGTGCTAAGTCACCATTTGACTCACTAAATTGAATGTGCTTAACTTTCTGTTGTGAAGACCACTGGGTTCTTCCTGATCCTTTACATTTTGGACATGAGATAGGACAAGAGCTCTGAGTTGAGTCTTCTTGAGTCTCTAGGACATGGGCAAGAAGCCAGTCAGACCTGTGCTTACATGTGTGGCATGGTAAGCAAGCCAACTTTCAACTGCTGTATTTTCAGTAAGAGTTCAGCCACTGTTCTAAGCAGTCAGAAGTCCATCTGGGAGTGGAGAGAGTAATTTGCACTTTCATAGGTGATGGAAGAACGTAGTAGATGGAAACATTTGTACGTAGAAGTACTCTCTAGTGACCTGGCTTTAGTGTGCCTGGTCTGCTGTTATAAGCTGTGCCTTCCCTGACACTTGGGTTATCAATAGTCTGCCTCTTGTTGATTCAAAACAGGGGAGATCAGAGACCCAGAGCCAGCAGGAAGAAGAGGAAAAGAAATCCAGAATCTCTGGGTAGAATGAAAATCATAAAATACATAAAAAGTAAGGCTGGGCACGGTGACTCATGCCTGTAATCCCAGCACTTTGGGAGGCCAAGGCGGGCCGATCATACGAGGTCAGGAGTTTGAGACCAGCCTCCCCAACATGGTGAAACCCTGTCTCTACTAAAAATACAAAATTAGCCCAGCATTATGGCGCATGCCTATAATCCCAGCTACTCAGGAGGCTGAGGCAGGAGAATTGCTTGAACCCAGTAGACGGAGGTTGCAGTGAGCCAAGATGGGCCATTGTACTCCAGCCTGGGCAACAAGAGCGAAACTTTATCTCAAAAAAAAAAGAAGGTGAGACTGGGCGCGGTGGCTCAAGCCTGTAATCCCAGCACTTTGGGAGGCTGAGACGGGCGGATCACGAGGTCAGGAGATCAAGACCATCCTGGCTAACACGGTGAAACGCCATCTCTACTAAAAAATACAAAAAACTAGCCGGGCGAGGTGGCGGGCGCCTGTAGTCCCAGCTACTCGGGAGGCTGAGGCAGGAGAATGGCGTGAACCCGGGAGGTGGAGCTTGCAGTGAGCTGAGATCCGGCCACTGCACTCCAGCCTGGGCGACAGAGCGAGACTCCGTCTCAAAAAAAAAAAAAAAAAGGTGAAAGAACAAAAAGCTGATGGGCCTTGAAAGAAGGCTATGCTAAGGACTTCACAGAGAATTTAGAAATGGGGTGAAGCAAATGGGATCTGTTTTGCTAAGCAATTGCTATCACACTGATTTTGAATATTTTCTTCAATGCTTGTATTAATAAATTAACAGTGAACTCAAGGGATCCTTCTCCTGAGGTCTTTCTCCATAGTCACAGATAGTGGCATGGGATCACATTATTTTTTAAAAATCTAAAATAAAAACTATTATTCTTAGTGCATCCAAGACTACTTTAGATACAGCAGGCCAGACAACCACCGATTTGTTAAATACTTACTCGGATGATGAATACATTAAAAAAATCCAGAAGCGCCTTGAAGAAGATGCTTTTGCACGAGAACAAAGGGAGAAAAGACGGCGGAAATTGTTAATGGACCAGTTAATAGCCCACGAAGCACAAGAGGTAAGATATTTAGATAAAGGTTAAATAATAGTGCTGGGAATTCTACAAAATGTAGTCTTCTATACACATAATATGTAGTTTATTTATGTATTGTCTGCTACTCTGCATCAAATGTCATATCATAATAGGAAATATACTAGAAAAAAACAGCTGTTTACTAAAGAATCTAAAATCTGGTGATAGTTGTATAACATTGTGAATGTAATTAAGACAAATGTATACTTTAAAATGGTAAATTTTATGTTATGTATATTTTACCATAATAAAGAATACATTAAAAGGAACCCAAAATCTATGTCTGCCATGTGTACTCTATTGTTACTTTTAGAGGAAAAAGGGAAGGGTTTAATGAAAACAATATGGAAAAGTTGTTCGTCCTCTCCTTTTGTTCACCATTCTATTCCAGTGGTTCTTAAAGCATAGTTCCTGGACCAGCAGCACCAGTATTACTTGGGACTTTTAGGAATAGAGATTATTGGGCCCCACCCCAGATCAGACCTGAAACGCTGGGAGTGGGGCCCAGTGATCTGTGCTAACAAGCTCTCTAGGTGATCCTGACTCCACCACAGCTTGAGAATCGCTGATCATTTCTTACATTGAACACATATTTATTGAACTTCTATGCTTTGAGTACTTGTGATAGGCCCACAGATATAACAGAGAGCAAGAATAACAAGACACCTGTCTCCCAGAGCTTTCTGCAAACAGCAAGTACATTGGAGTGTGAAAGTGCTGTGAAGGTGAAAGGGGGATTGGGGGAGTGATACTTAGAGAAGTCCACCTGGCTTGCTTCAGAAGACAGTGTCTGGAGGACAATAGCAGAAGCATAGATAAAGAGTCAGGAGTTAGCTAATTGAAAGTGGGGTGGTCGTGGTGGGGTTGGGGTGAGAGGCAGTTTCCAAGAGAGGCTGAAATGGTGGAAGGTGAGTGTTTCCAGACAAGAGAATACCACATGGAAAGCTCAGTGCTTTTAGCTAACGGAAAGTCATATCATCTGGCAGGAGTCACTAGAGGCCAAATTATGATAAGCCTTGTAAGATACACAGAATGAAATAGGAGATTTTGTGATTTCTTGTTTGAATGCAAAGTGGAAAAAGAGTGACCAGGTCCAACTTGCCTTTAGAAAGATCACTCTGGCTTTAGTTTGGAGAATAGATTACAGAAGGGCAATCCAAGTCCGTTGTTGCTGTAATTCAGGCAAGAGATTATCCCAGTTTAAATGTAGTGTAGTGGCAATAGGGATTGAGAGAAGTAGCTTTAAGAGCTATTTTGGAGGTAAAATCAATAGGACTTAATGATTCATTAGACATGGGAAAGTGAAGAAGTGGGATGAAAAGCTGGATTTCTAGGTTGTGCACCTGGATGGCTGGACGTGTAATTTGCTGAGATATGGAAGATGGTGAGAGGAACAAACTTGGGGTGGGCGACGATTTCAGTTGTGAATGTAAATAGGACAAATCTGCATGTCTACAAAGACCATTTGAAGATGCTTTTATTCACCTGCCCACGTCTGGTCTGCTTGTTCACTGAAAGGAAATAAAGGCTTCACACAAATATGAAGAAGTGAAATTTATTCATGGATTCCACTCTTTCTTAGTGAAAGTTCAAAAAAATAGCTCTGGACATCTCTTTGTGCTAGAAAGTTATTTCTTCATATTCAGATTTCTTCAAATTATATCTTTATTCAATCAGTTTGATTATCTCCTTTTCATTGGAAGAATTTCAAATTATGAAAACTAGATAATCGAAAAGTTTATTTTAAAATAACTACCAAGACCAAGACGGGCAGATCACGAAGTCAGGAGATCGAGACCATCCTGGCTAACACGGTGAAACCCCATCTCCACTAAAAAAAAAAAAAAAAAAAAAAAAAACGAAAAACTCGCCGGGCGAGGTGGCGGGTGCCTGTAGTCCCAGCTACTCGGGAGGCTGAGGCAGGAGAATGGCATAAACCCGGGAGGCGGAGCTTGCAGTGAGCCGAGATCCGGCCACTGCACTCCAGCCTGGGTGACAGAGCGAGACTCCGTCTCAGAAAAAATAAAATAAATAAAAAATAACTACCCATTTCAAGTGTCATCATGTAGCAATGACATTTTGGACACACTTCGATGTATGTTCCAAAGCACTTGTGTGTTGGCTGCAAGGTTTTTTCTTACTATTTTCCTGCTTGTAATCTAGGCCTGGTGTTTGCCTGGAAAATGGAGTAGATGAATTCTTTCTGGATTTCCTCACTTTCCACTAGGATGCTATTAACACTGAATTTTCAAAACTAGAGTTGGAGGTATATTTACCAGTTTGAAAATCCAGCAACCTAAGGGACCTAAAAAAGAGTCAGGGCTCTATATATTTCCATCACAGGAACCTCATCTTGTGCTGCCTCTTTTCTGTGTGTGGGGAAGCTGCTATTCCTAGAACCAGGCCTGATGCATATGCTGCATTCCCTCCATTCCTACCACCTCCTTCCTATGAAATGTAGTGAGCCCAGGCTCCTGTGCAGCTGACACAAGAGATGCTGGTCCACAGTGGTGGAATGGGAAATTCTTATGTGTACAATGGCTGGTTTTTCCATCCAGTATCCTCTCCTCCAAAGGAAAAATGGTATATGTCAGGGCTAGGAATTCTTCTACTTCCTTCAGTTACCTGCTGCTTTTCACAAGTATAACATAAATCCCACGTCAGCCCTGAATGTTTTCTTCTGGTGCCATTTGTACTTAATCTATCAGAAATGCCTCAAAATATCTTCCCTAGCTTTCGAGTTGTTCCAGTTTCTCCCTGGAATTTAGGTATTCCTGTTTCAGTTTGGCTGGTGAAGAGAGAACCAGAGACCTGTGCTCAAGTTGATATCTTGCCTACTGATTCATAAATACGTGAAATTATGTGAATTAAATGATGAGATTTAAAGTTATAAAAATCAATTTGACTTTTTAGGGGATAGATTTTGAGAGTGGGGATGGTAAGAAAAGGATTGGTAGGGAGGGGCTGATGTTGTTCAAGATAGGGCTGGTGTCAGTGGGTATGGGATGGAATCGGGGGGTGGTGGTTTAAAAACATGCCTAGGAGGTATGCTAGACTACTTTTTGAACAATTGAGTATTAGGAGTGATGAGAGATGAATGAACTTAGGATGACCCTAATGTCTTAGATCACAGAGTGGATTATTGTAGGATCATCAACCAAGATGGGGAAATATGGGGAGAGGACCAGGTCTGAAGTTGAGTTAGTGAGTTGAGTTTTGGACTTGTTGAGTTAAAGTACTTCATAGGCATGTAAGTGTATTCAAACTGGGAACACAGTTTGACTCCCACCTGGTTCTGTGGTCATTTGGCTAGCATCTTGGCCAATTAAGTTTTGCCCCAAGTCAGTTACCTCTGCCTTCTAAGAATCTTTTCTATGCCATTTCTTTGGAACTGACATTTGAACGCCAGGCCCTTCCCTCACTTCTTAACTAGAAGACCCTTGAATACTTAGCTGTCAGGTCTTTCCTGCAGTGCCCTATTCCTCTATAGAGCTGCTCGGGCATCTTTGGAATATTAGGTAGTGGTTGTAGACTAGAGTAAGTTCCTCCAGTCTCTAGATATCTTTCTGTCTTCCCCATTGAGTACTATAGATACCTCCCCTTTCCACATGATGTCTCTGTTTCGAAAGAGTGAGAGAACTTGATGAGGCCTTGGATATCATCTTCTATCTAAACCCATCATTTTGCCTGATGAGAAATAAAACCAAGAAACTGAGTTAATTGCCCAAGGCCACCCAGCCTATTATGATGACCAGGTCCTCTGATTCCCAGTTTAATGTTTTTTTTTCACTGTTCATTTACTGGTCACCCTTCTATTCTCCTCAAACTGCCAAGAATACATCTAGTTTTTCTTTCAGATGATGACCACTCAGATTTTCTAAGATCAGCAGTAGGTCATTTTCCCCAGCCTCTTCTCCAGGCTTCCCTTTCTGTCAGTTTGTATTAATAGCTTTTCCTCACGATGGTATTGCATTGTCCTCAGTGGGAACTAATTCAATCTGCAGTCTTCAGCTGACAATGCCTGCATTTGTTTTACAACTAGTAGTTATGTTAAAATGCGTATAACATAATCCCAACCTTCTGAAAACATGCTTTGAAATTTAGAGTCATAGCACTTTTGTTTTAACTTTTATTTTAAATTCAGGGGTACATGTGCAGGTTTGTTATACAGGTAAACTCATGTTATAGGGGTTTGTTGTACAGATTATTTTGTCACCCAGATATAAAGCCTAGTATCCATTAGCTATTTGCTTGTTTTTAAAACTTTGAAAAAAAATCACCTAATTTATTTTTAATAATGTTTTGAATGAATAATGAATAATGTTTTGAATAACAATTTGTTTAAAGTAATTGTGAGTTGCAAAACCATAATGTTTCTAAACGCCAACTTTTGTTGGAAATCCTCATTTCATAACTTGATTTTTTTTTTTTGCCATGTTCAAATTAAATCAAATGACAGCAATTATTTAGATGAACATTATACCTTTTGTATATTGTTTATTATAGGCTTCCTAGCTCAGTGGGAAATTTGGACATCACTTTAACAAATAACTCCCCTGGTGTTTTCAGGAGGCTTATCGGGAGGAACAGCTGATTAACCGGCTGATGCGGCAGTCCCAGCAGGAGCGCAGGATTGCCGTGCAGCTCATGCATGTTCGGCATGAAAAGGAAGTTTTATGGCAAAACAGAATTTTCAGAGAAAAACAACATGAGGAAAGACGACTTAAAGATTTCCAGGATGCTCTTGATCGAGAAGCGGTAAATACTATCTCCCTTAGAAATCTTTCTAAGGTTACTTTTGATCCTTTCTACCAAGTGGTAAACAAAGCTATATTTTGTTGCCAATCATCTAATAAGAGTTGATTTTTTTATATGATCAGCCTATTATCTGCCAATTTTTATTTTTATGTAACTCCATCAATAGGGCATATAGCCACTACATAGAACTATACTGTCTTCTTTTAGCCTTGATTCTACAAGTAGCTAAGTACTTAATGCTCACCACCAACCCTAGTGTCCATGTCTCTCTAGTCATTTTGATTGTCTGAAACTCTTTCTCAGGATTTCTCAGGAAGGGCTCATGGAAACCATATTCCCTGAGTTCTTATGTATTGGTAACATTGTGTGCCTTTTATACTTGATTGTAAGTTGACTGTGTATAAAATGGTTAGTTCACACTTTGTTTCCTTGAATATCTTAAATATGTCACTCTATTTTCTTCAAGTATAAAGTGTGCTGCCAAAAAGAATGGTGATAGTCTAACTTTCAATTCCTTGAGTCATTACTTTTTTTTTTTAGATACTTTATTTTTTTCTTTAAAAATTCACTAAGTTTACTAGAGCAGGCATTGGTATTGGTTATTCTAGGTGAATATCCTCGGGCAGTGAGAGAACTTTTAAACTGCTTCCTTTCAACTGGACATCATTAGTCTTTAATCAACAATTCCTTGCCTTCTGGAAAAGAAAAAAGAGATTCCTCAGGCCCATATTGTGCTATTCCTTCCTCAGAATGAGCATAAGTGCTTTATCTAGGGTACTCCGGTGCACTGTAGTTGAGAATTGTATACAGAAACTCAGATCTGGGCTGCTAGCTGTGCTTTTTGCTACTGTGGTGTCATTGTGTCTTGGCCCTTTTACAACCCTGAAAATCAAAATATCCTATCTTTTAATGATTTAATAGATTATTTTTGTCCCAAACTTTATGTATATGTAGGTTCTAGTAACAAAAATAGATTGATTTTATGAATGGAGTATATGGATTACTTCTTGTCTACTTCCTATTGGGGATGTTTCAGATTTATTTAATCCTTTAGTCCACATTTGATTGAAGAGAACTCATGTGAGTGGCGTTTTAGATAGCCTGTCTTTACTGTCATAAAATATTCACAAAACCAGACTGGGCAGAAGAGAAACCTTAAAGAAAACGGGAGGGCAGTGTTTTATTTACTAGCTTCATAGCTTCCACTGTGATACCCCATGTAAGTGCAATGTAACTTTTGCCAAAATTGTGCAATTTTTAGAAATATCAGTTGGAAAGTAGCATATTTTGCAGAGAGGAGAGTGTTGCTTTTGCCTTTGTGGAACAGGCATAGCCTAAATGGTGGGTATGGAATAGGGAGAGGGAGCCATACCCCATGAATTTGAGCTGAATGAATGCTGACTTCGAAGTCTTCTTTGTCTTTAAGAGCTGAGTTATCTGGATGATTGTTTCATCTCTCTTCTTTGGCAAAAATAGACTTGACTAGATTGAGTGGCATTCACTTACATTAGAAATGATGTGTTATCTTTCTAAGTGCTTATTTGAAAAATATGTTTATTTCATAAGCTCAGCTAAATAGCAAAGTATGTTTAGCTGGACTGGTCTCATGGTGATAAGGATCATCTATTCTTTCTTAAACTGGGGTTGAACTAACTTCAGAGGACTGGAACAGTTGGGCCTGCTAAAGCCCCAGAGACCTAAATTGTGAGTTTCTGAAGTACCTGAAAAAATTGTATTTCTTCCTCTCACATGATTACTTTTCCAACAGCGAAGCTATATAGTTCCTTGGCATCTCTCCCTTAGAGATGGTTGGATTTTATGACTTGCATCCGTACATGTTGAGTTTATCAACTCTCCACCAACAGTGGCTGGTGCATAAGTAGAAACTGAATAAATAAATCAATAAATGTTTAATTCAGTTTGCCAAATTAACAGTCACCTCATCTTTCCAGTATCATTCACTAACTAAACAAAATCCATTTTATTCCCTAGAGTATTATCATTCTACTACGTTTTTTATGTGAATAAAGGAGGGTTTTATATATATATACACACACACACATACACACCCACACACGTGTATATATACATATATACATATGTGTGTGTGTATATATACTTGCTTAACTTTTATTTTAAGTTCAGGGGTATAAGTGCAGGTTTGTTACATAGGTAAATGTGAGTTATGGGGATTTGTTGTACAGATTATTTCATCACCCAGATATTAAGGCTAGTGCCCATTAGTTATTTTGCCTGATACTCTCTTTCCTCCCACCCACCACCCTCTGAAAGGTGCCAGTGTTGTTGTTCCCCTCTGTGTGTCCATGTGTTCTCATCATTTAGCTTCCACTTATAAGTGAGAACATGCAGTATTTGGTTTTCTATTCCTGCATTAGTTTGCTGAGGATAATAGCCTCCAGCTCAATCCATGTCTTTGCAAAGGACATGATCTCATTCCTTTTTATGGCTGCATAGTATTCCATGGTGTATCTATACCACATTTTCTTTATCCAGTCTATCATTGATGGGCATTTAGGTTGATTCCATGTCTTTACTATTGTGAATAGTGTTGCAATGAATGTAGGCATTCATGTGTCTTTAAAATAGAATGATTTGTATTCCTTTGGGTATATACCCAGTAATGGGAGTGCTGGGTTGAATGATATTTCTGCCTCTAGATCTTTGAGGAATTGCCACACTGTCCTCCACAATGGTTGAACTATTTTACTCTTCCACCTACAGTGTAAACTTGTTCCTTTTTCTCTACAACCTCACCAGCATCTGTTGTTTTTTGACTTTTTGATAATAGTCATTCTGACTGGTATGAGATGGTATCTCATTTTGGTTTTGATTTGCATGTATCTAATGGTCAGTGATGTTAAGCTTTTTTTCATGTGTTTGTTAGCTGCTTGTATGTCTTCTTTTGCAAAGTGTCCATTCATGTCATTTGCCCACTTTTTAATGGAGTTGTTTTTCTCTTGTAAATTTGTCTAAGTTCCTTATAGATGTTGGATATTAGACCTTTGTCAGATGCATAGTTTGTAAAAATTTTCTCCCATTCTGTAGGTTGTCAGTATACTCTCTTAACAGTTTCTTTTGCTGTGTAGAAGCTCTTTAGCTTAATTAGGTCCCATTTGTCAATTTTTGCTTTTGTTGCAATTGCTTTTGACATATTCATCATGAAATATTTGCCCGTGCTTATGTCCTGAATGGTATTACTTAGGTTGTCTTCCAGGTTTTTATGGCTTTGGGTTTTACATTTAAGTCTTTAATCCATCTTGAGTTAATTATCTTATATGGTGTAAGGAAGGGGTCCAGTTTCTATCTTCTGCATAGGGCTAGCCAGTTTTCCCAACACCATCTATCAAATGGGAAATCCTTTCACCATTGCTTGTATTTGTAAGGTTTGTTGAAGATCTGGTAACTGGAGGTGTGTAGTCTTATTTCTGGGTTCTCTATTCTGTTCCTTTGGTCTATGTGTCTGTTTTTGTGTTTTGATTACTGTAACCCTGTATAGTGTGGTGTAGTTTGAAATCAGGTAGCGTGATGCTTCCAGCTTTGTCCTTAGATTTTATTGTTCTTGTCATTTTTTATTATTATTTGAGAGTGGGAGGAGGTGGAACATTCTAAAATTACTTTTAAATCTATTAAGGTCTTTAAGGTTTCTTAACTATGCTCACAGACTATTAATAATATTTGTGTTACTCATTTTAATAGTATTGATTTGCTATTCCATGGCTACTTTCTATTAAGTATTGCTGTGGAAAATACTGATTTTGTTTCTACTTCTTTGGCTGCTCCTTCTCAGGAGCAGGGTCATTGTCTTTACAGCCTCATTGTTCTTTTGTATCAAAACATTTATTGACAGATTCCTCAAAGCTTCATCTTAGGCTGCCTTATTTTCTTTTCTATGTTACTTCTTAGACAGCTGCATCCACAACCATGGTGGTGTATTTACTGCAACAGACAGATGACCCATACAGTTATGCCTCTGTCCTCTGAGATGAAGGTCCATAGTTTCAGTATTCCTTGACATCTGTGGTTGTATATCTCAGAGACACTTCAAATTCAACATGTTCCAAGCCAAATGTATGACTTTTCCTATGCAACTAGTCTTTTTCAGTGTTCCATAGCTCAACAAATGGCATCATTATTTATCGAACTGTACAAGCCTGAAACCTCAAGGTCCACGTTAAAATTGCTTCACCCTTATTCTTCCATACCCAAAACATCCACTAAGTGCTATCATTTTCATGCATTAAATTTCTCTTCATTGTGTCCATTTTCCTCTATGTCTACACTACCATCCCTGGTTTCTACTGCAGTACTACTACTGCAGTGGTTTCCTTCATCCATTTTTAGTGGTTATGAATTGGTGACCAAAAACTGGAGAGTGTAAGAATATAACATTATATATGTTCCTTAAGTCAGCCCTAAGTTGTACTCTTTCACCCCAACTCTGCACACAGACAATGTACAATTCCCCAAGTTATAAGGGGCAAGCCATCTTGGAAACACTACGGTCATCAGATGCAAGCCCAGTCCTATTGAGACCTCAGCTACTGCAGCCCACATGTCCCCTCAGTGGCACAGGAAACTTTGGGGAAGCTGCTCCAGCCTTTGTTGGTCTCCCATATAATCCCCTCTGAGGCTTCATTGCCCCCCTTCATTACCTGGGCTCTGGCCACATTGGTTTGCTCTGAGATCCTTGAGCAATTCATTTCTTCTACTTTGCCCCTCTTTCCAAGGGCATTCACCCAATTAATACTTGTTTTCAAAGCTCCATGCATATGCCCCTTCTTGTCTAGGTCAGGCCCCTGTTATACAGCCTCATACCCCACGGTCTTGCCCTAATGACAGTTGTCATAGTGTGTACTTATACATGTATTTGTGTGACTCTTTGACTGTTTGCCTATCCCACTGGCATGTAAAGTCCATGAGGGCAGGACCACATTTGCTCTTGCTCATGAAATAAAGAAAGAAAAAAAAGAAGGAAGGAAGGAAGGAAGGAAGGAAGGAAGGAAGGAAGGAAGGAAGGAAAGAAGGAAGGGCTGTGCATGATGGCTCACACCTGTAATCCCACCACTTTGGGAGGCCAAGGCAGGTGGATCATGAGGTCAAGACTTCAAGACCAGCCTGGCCAACATGTTGAAACCCCATCTCTACTAAAAATGCAAAAATTAGCCAGGGGTGGTGGCGTGCACCTGTAATCCCAGCTACTTGGGAGGCTGAGGCAGGAGAATTACTTGAACCCAGGAGGCGGAGGTTGCAGTGAGCTGAGATCGCCCCATTGCACTCCAGGTCTGGATGACAGAGCAAGACTCCATCTTGGGGGAAAAGACGGGAAAGAAAGAGAGAGAGAGAGAGAAAGAGAAAAAGAGAGAAAGAGAGAGAGAGAAAGAAAGAGGAAGGAAGGAAGAGAGAGAGAAAGAAAACGAGGGAGAAGACCTTTGTGTTTTTCTTTCACTCTCAATTTTTTGAGGGTTTTTGTTTTGTTTTTAGATTAAATCTGCTAATCTCTTCCTTTGAGGCAACTGCAAAAGTATTCTGTATTTAAGACAGTTACTGATTTCAAATTTCTGTGCTAACTACTATTATTATTAATAATTAATTACAATAATATTTAATTTTTTTTGAGTTTCACTTTGAGTCAAGCATTGTACTATGTTTGTTACAAGCATGTATAAAATAATTCTTGCAATGACCATAAATGGATACCATCCTTATTCACATTTTACACATCAGGAAATTGAAGACTAGAAGGCTTAAAGTCACACAGCTTCTCAGCGGTGTAGCAGGGAGCAAGGCCAGCTTGATCAGATTTTAGAGTCCAAGCTCATAACCACTGAGATTTACTACCTCCCACAGACTTCCTTTTTCCTTTTCCTCCTTTTCTTATGGCTGCAACCCACTTAGCTGTAATGAGACAGGAAATTGTGGTGGCTTTGGCAGAGGATTGATGGTAGATATAGAAAAGAAGAAGGAAGACTAAGCTGGATGAAGGGAGGGAGAGGAATAGAGGAAGGGAGGGAGGGAGCGGGGAAGGGAGGAAGAGAGAGAGGGATATGGGGAGACAGGCAATGGCAGCAACCAGGGTTGAAAGCTACACTATTACTGGTAGGAGCATTCTACCATTCCCTTAAAGGTTTTTATTCCTCACATCCTAAATATTTCCATGTGTTTCAGAGAACTCTGTAGTAAACCAACCTCATGATCCATTTTTGTGTCACTCTCTCTGTAAATTCTCATCGGATATTTCTGCTCTCTTAGATTCATTTTTCCTCTGAATTCTTCACTTCATGAATCATGTCATAAAGCTTTGTACTTAAATTGTACTCTTTCTCCATGAAAACAGGGTATACAGAATAATACAAGAATAACAAACTCTGGTGTAATTCCTAAATCTGTCAAATGTAAAGAATTGACCTTAGTGATCATCCAGCTTAACACCTTTCCCAACAAAAATGAAATAAGCACACAAAATAAAATAGCAATAGCAAAACAAATGGTGGACCTTACACAGCAATCCATTGTCACACATCTAGTCATTTATGAATAGTATCATTATAGGAAATACTTGTTTTGATGAGATGGTTTGGTAATTTTTCTGGGTATGCTAAGTACTTTTAATATCCTGACTTTGAGGAAATGGAGACATAAGGAGACTAATGACTTGCCCAAGATCTCACAGCTAGTGCTTGAATTCTATATAAAATCTAGGGCTTGAACTCGACCATAGCTCCTCCAAAGCCCAAGTTTACTTCCGTTTGATACTCACTGGGTTGTTACAGGAGGCAAGTCTTTTTCCTACAGCAGGCTAGCATGTAACTAAATTTCTCAAGAAGCTGGCATAGCTATCTGAGAAGCAATATTGGGTCATCTGAATCCCACTAATTAAGTATTATGTTATCCTCAGCTTGGCTGGACTGAGTTCAACCTTTGTACCTTGTGTGAAGAAAAGATTCCCTGAACAAAATAATAGTGCACTAAGGAGAGGGCGATAACAAGCTAAGTGTTTCATTGCTTTCTACATACATAGATGTTCCTACAAATGAATGCCATCAGCTTATTAAGGCTGTAACCATAGAGGGTTTGTAATTAACACATTTAACACATGTTGGCAAATACTTTATATTCTCAAGCCAGTATAATCAGGGACTTTCTAAAATATTTTCTAAGTATAAATCAGTATTACAGAACTCTCCCATTGAAAGACAAAGGGCAATGACTATAGTAGATGTGTCCAAACTGACACTCTGGATGTAGGAGTGAGGGGTCAGCTATGCTTAGGATCTGGCACAGACTTGCCTGTTTCTCTCTGATCCCTATTTGCAACCGGTGAACTCAGGACTTCTTTTTGAAGGCTTAAGATCCAATTCCTCATTAATCCAAATTGGGCTTTCCCCAGTTAGATCACTTTTCACTGTATTATGCTTTGTTGATAAGATAAGCTGAGAGTAGGATATTTCCAATATTGTCTTTGCCATCATACTCAGTACTAATGTATTAAGAAAAAGGTGTTCATTCATGATTAATTTTTTTCCTGGTGTGAGAAGAGGTTTCATTCTACTGAAAGACGTTTTGGCTATTGAAATGATGACATTATTTTTATTTGATTCAGTTATAGTGACTTAAAAATATGTTTTTGCCTTTTTAGGCTTTGGCAAAACAAGCCAAGATTGATTTTGAAGAACAGTTCCTTAAAGAAAAGAGATTTCATGATCAGATTGCTGTGGAAAGAGCTCAAGCTCGTTATAAAAAGCATTATTCAATATGTGCAGAAATTTTGGACCAAATAGTTGATTTGTCCACTAAAGTGGCAGACTATCGAACGTTGACAAATAAGTAAGTATTGTTTTTTAAATAACATAGTAAAGACACGATAGAGAATGAGGAAGGATAAGATTGTAAAGTAGATACTAAGCTGATAAGTAAAGAGAGATACAAATGATTCATGAAAAGACTAAAAGGTGGGGTCCAGGAGACCTTGATTACTGGCTTGACTTACTCACTGACTACTTTCATTTAAGATGCCTACATACCTTTTTCCATACCTTTTATGAAAATTAACTCAAAGTGGATCATGGACTTAAATGTAAAACATAGCACTATAAAACTTTGAGGGAAAAATGGGAGAAAATCTCTGGGCTCTATGACTAGGCAACAAGTTCTTAGACTTGACACCAAAAGCATGATCCATAAGAGGAAAACTTGACAAATTGGACTTCATTAAAATTAAAACGTTTTGCTCTGCAAAAGACAAAACTTTATAAGTTGAACTTCTTCAAAATTAAAACTTTTTGCTTTGAAAAAGCTGAAAGGATGTATAGAATAGGAGAAGATATTTCAAACTGCCTAGCCAACAAAAGACTAGTATCTAGAATATATAAAATATTCTCAAAACTCAACAATAAAAAATAAGCCAGTTCAAAAATAGGCAAAAGATATGAAAAGACATTTCACTGAAGAGGATATTCAGATGACAAATACACACGTAAAAAACTTCATCCTCGTTAGTCATTAGAGAAATTCAAATTGAAATCACAATGATTTGTCATTACATTCCTATAACAATGGCTAAAATTAAAAAAAAAAAAATGAGAACACCAAATACTGACAAGGATCTGGAGAAAACCACCAATTCATTGCTGCTGAGAATATGAAATGGTACAGCCCCTCTGGAAGACAATTTGGCAATTTCTTAAAAAGCTGAATATGCAACTCCCATACAACCTAGTGATTACACTTTTGGGTGTTTATCCTAGAGAAATTAAGACTTAAATTCACACTAAAATCTGTATAGAAATGTTTATATCACCTTTATTTGTAGTAACTTAAAACTGATAACAATTCAGATGTCTCTCAATAGGTAATAAAGTGTGATACATCCATATCATGGAATATTGCTGAGAAATATAAAATAATACACTATTAATGCATGCCACAATCTGGATGGACCTCCAGATACTTATGCTGAGTGGAAAAAAGCCAATCTCAAAATGTTACTTGCACTATGATTTCATTTACAAAACATTCTTGAAATAACAAAGTTATAGAAACAGAACAGATTAGTGATTGCCAGGGGCTAAGACTGGGGTGGAGGTGAGAGGGAAGTGAGTGTAGCTCTGAAAGGGCAACATGATGGGTTCTGTGGTGATAGAACGTTCTGTATCTTGACTGTATCAATGTTAATATCCTGGTTATGATATTGTACTGTGGTTTTGCAAAATATTACAATCAGGAGACACTGGGTAAAGGGTATATGGATGTCCATATTATTTCTTACACCTAATGTGAATGTATAATTACCTCAAAATAGAAAGATTAATTTTAAAAATCAAAGTATATCTAAATAGCAACAGAATAACATGAAAGTGGGATAAATAATTCATAGAGTCTACTAGGTGTGAACCCTGAAAACTTGAGACAGGTCTCAGTTACTTAGAAAGTTTATTTTACCAAGGTTGAGGACGTACCTGTGACACAGCCTCAGGAAGTCCTGACGACATGTGCTCAAGGTGGTCAGGCCACAGCTTGGTTTTATACATTTTAGGGAGACATGAGACATCAATCAATATGCAAGAAGTAAGTACATTAGTTCCATCTAGAAAGATGGAGACAGCTCAAAGCAAGGCCCACCCACTGGGGGCTTCCAGGTCACATATAGGTGAGAGACTGAAGGCTGCATTCTTTTGAGTTTCTGGTAGGTCTTTCCAAAGAAGGCAATCAGAATTTGCATCTATCTCTGTGAGCAAAAGGATGACTTAAATAGAATGGGAGGCAGATTTGCCCGAGTGGTTCCCAGCTTGAAAGGGCCCAAGATATTTTCCTTTCACATAAGCTAAAGCAGACTCACGCTGGTAATCCCAGCACTTTGGGAGGCTGAGGCAGGTGGATCACGAAGTCAGGTGTTCAAGACCAGCCTGGTCAAGATAGTGAAACCCCATCTCTACTAAAAATACAAAAATTAGCCAGGTGCGGTGGCAGATGCCTGTAATCCCAGCCACTCGAGGGGCTGAGGCAGGAGAATTGCTTGAACACGGGGGAAGGAGGTTGCGGTGATCAGAGATCACGCCACTGCACTCCAGGCTGGGTGACAGAGTGAGACTCTGTTTCAAAAAAAAAAAAAAAAGCAGACCACATAGCTGGAATTTCCAGACTAACTTATATAAAGTCAACAGAGCTCATTCTGAAATGGAAGGTATAACATTGCTTCTAAAGCAGCCCTTTTTAAAATATATATATATAAAATAGCATTTTTTCCTCACTGTTTTATTTTGAATTAATAATTGCTTCACCAGAACAGGTTGATCTGAAGTGAGCTGACGGAATTTGAATCCTCTAAGAAAACTGAATTGCTAGCCCAAAAGTATGCATGGAATCTTAATACTGTCAGCTAACAAGGGAGGTATTCAGGGCCCCAGAAGCCATAGCAGGTGATTTTCTTATTCGGGAGCCTCAGTGGATCAGGTGGGGAATGGCAAGGTCAGAATCTTGAGGAAAAGGAGAAGTTTGGCAAGAACATGGAGACCAATATTCTGTATGACTAGAGAAGCTATTTTAAAAATGTTCCTACTTTTGCCATTTTATCTGTTTCTATCCTCATATCCTTAAATGTGAAAAGAATTTTACGGTAAAGGTCAGATAGCTAAGGTTTTTTCCTTCTACATTTTTTTTTTTCCAAAAGACATGGACTACTTTAGTAGGTTGCAATCATGAAGCCATAGAATGTCTACAGATGTCATAGTAAGTCATACTGAAAGAGAATGTTAAAAGGTTTTTAGGAGGAAACAGGTAATTTGGGGGCTTTTTAAAGCCCTGACAAGTGGTGGAGAATGCAAAACGGAGGAAGTACCTGAATATGAGGTTTGTCAGGAGTTCAAGAACCCTGAACACACAATCTTTAAACAGGAAAAGTTGTTAGGTCTGTACGCATTAAATAATAGCTCTTCATCCCCTCCAATCCCCAGACGCTGATAATCTCTATCCAATTTGATGTCTCTGAATTTGTTTCTTCTAGGTACCTTATATAAGTGGAATAATATAATATTCATCCTTTTTGTGTCTGGCTTATTTCACGTAGCATAATGTCTTCAAGGTCCATTCATGTTGTAGCATGAATCAGAATGAAGTACTACTTTTTAAGTTGTAATTTCAAGTTCTAGTCCAACTGTTTATGATCACATCAGGACATTTCACACATCTTGTCTTGAAACAATTTTCCCATCACTCTGTCCTTGCTGCCTCCTAAGCATTCTTTAGGCCTCAGCTTGGCAGTGATTTCTTTAAAGAGACCTTCCTGGAACCAACAAGTTAAGTTGAGTCATACTGTTATACTTTCCCATTGTATAATTCTTATTCAGAACTTTCATTTATTTATGCAACTATTTTTTGCCCTTCTTTCCCAGAGTCTGCTATTTAAAGCCAGGTATTCCACTTGCTATTATATTTCCAGTGGCTAGTAAAATGTTTGGAACTTAGTGGGTTTGAAGAATGATTGTTACTTTATGCCATTGGTTCTTTAAACTTTTTTATTGACTGTTTCATAGCAGAACAATATATCTAAAAATAGTGAGCACAGTCAGAACACTTAGGTTCCTTAATTCTCAGTTCTGATGTCAGCTTACTATGCAACCTTAGGAAATTATTTAAATGCTCTGGTATCAGTGTCCTCCTGTGCAAAATGAACAAACTGAGTGCTTTTCAAGGCCCCTTTAAGAGAACATTAGGTTTACATTTTGTAAATAATTTGTAACAGAAAAATCTAATATATATTAGTCTTACTGTCATTGCACACATGGTAACCTTTAAGATCGTTTTTCAGTAATTATTTCTGTTTGATGAAAGTGAGCTAATTTACATAAATATAATACAAATACCAATGTTTAAAATCTATATTTGACTAACCATTGATTCATCTCTACCTTTTCTTTGTGCAATAGCCTGATTCCATATAAGTTGATGCATGATTGGAAGGAACTATTTTTTAATGCAAAACCCATATATGAACAAGCCTCTGTTAAGACACTACCTGCTAACCCCTCAAGAGAACAACTTATAGAACTGGAGAAAAGGGACTTGCTAGATACCAATGATTATGAAGAATATAAGGTACCTACTGATATGAAATAATTAGAATGCTATATAATAAATCCTTTTTCTTTAACATTAATTTTGTGATATTCCTTATTTCATTTCTACTAATAAAAATAGGCATGTTTTGTTTGCATTTTCCCTTGTTTTAATTTGTATATTTGTGCTACTTTTTAGCTGCTTAAACTATACATAAGCTATTATCTATTGTTTCTAGTAATCTTAGGGGAGTGGTCTGAAAAAACATCAAGCATAGTAATTGTCTAAGTAGACAGATTTCAGAATTTTTAAAATGCTTTAGTTTATTTATTAGCATTTTTCTTTCTATGAGCTGTCTACTTTGGCTTCAAAAACCATTGTTAAAATGTATTTCTTTTGTAATCGATCTAAATAATAGATTTTTTTACAGGCAAAATGAAAGAGGAGGAGGTCTGGGTTTTATGAATAGCATAGATTCAAACAATCTTTTCTTCAAAGATTGAAATAAAAAGTATCAGGTGCCAACTGTGATTTTTAGAAGAACTGTTGTAAAGCCTTTGAGATTAGACAGACTAGAGCTACATTATTGAAATTGCCAGCTACTAACTGTGCAATCTTAGGTGACCAGTTCCTTAAAGGCTAATAGAATTCCATTTTTCAATTTATGGAAAGGGAATACTACTATACCTACTTCATTTAAAATAACATGAGTTAAACACAGCTGAGTGCACTTCATGTTGGATGCATATAATACATATCCATTTCTTTCCTCACCATCCTACTCTCCCCATCCCACTCCATCTCACCCTTAGAAGTAAAGGTGTAACAATCATAGCTTTTGGATAGAAGTTTTGAGTGGATCAACATCAATGGAATGAGGAGTGAGGCTTTTTGTTAGAAAAATTACAAAATGAGTCCCAGAAGTTCAGTAAGTGCAACATGAAAAAAATCTATGGAAAGATGATTTGACCTAATTATTCACTGATAGTAAATACTCAACAAAGGTTTATGGAACAAAGAGTGAATAAAATGAATAAAGTACAATGAGCAAAGAAAAGTGCAAAATAACACTAATAAGTAAATATTACAAGAAGATAACCTTGTGGTTAAAAGATAAGGAAATAATATGAAATTATGAGAAATTAAATGTACACTATATTTTAATTAAATGAATCTATATTTGTAGCACTAAGAGAATTATTATTAAGGATTGACTAGAACCTTAAAAGATAAATGTGGATGTTTGTTTTGTATGGTTGTAAAATATACTCGACCTATTACATCCACCTAAAGTATAATGCCATATAATAAAATGCTTTGACAGTATCAAACTGTGTTAAGATATTTCTTTCCACTGTAAATTAGAAGTCATTTTATTTGACAGACTTTACTCGTTCATCGAATGTTGATTTCTAAATTACTTCTTAAACAGCTCAATCTCTATTCTTGTTGCTCTTACAAATCAGGAGACCTAGTAGGCTGCAGCTTAGCAAAGATTTTTGTCTCTCTAGCTATTTTCCTTGTATGAGAAATGGTTACCACAGGAACATGCTGGTCTTGCCCACATCCTGGAGCAGATGATGCATTTCTTTTGCAGGAAATTGTAAACTTTTGTTAGGAGTTTGTGATCATCTAGCAATGCACTTTATTTTGTGTATTGACTTTGCTGTTTTTCTGGAAATGAAAATTACCTTAGGATTTATAATACGTCTTCACAAGCTCTCTTTGACACCATAATGGAAAATATGCCATATACAGGTTTTAGGATGTACCGTAAACTATTATACTATCATTCTTTATTTTTAGACCTTTGGTCTCTTCAAGAACTTGTCCTAAATGTTCCTACATACAAATAAAAAATAAATGTTTCAACTTGTAAAATATATTATCTGGCTTAAATAGTCTATCACAAGACGCAGAGGGGCAATGCATCCTGGCTTATCTAAAAGAACCAGTGGTCCACATTTGTCATTGTTAAATTTGTTTAGGAGTTTTAATGCAAATATATTACTCAGAAATTAATACATTTGCTTGAACATAATAATGTTCATTATACTGTTATCGAACATTATTGAATATCATTATTGATGTTATTATATATAATGTTCATTATATATAATGTTCAATAACATTATAATGAACATTATTGTTCAAGCAAATGTATTATTCAGAAATTAATCTTCAAAAAGTTTATATTCTTAGCATGCTTAATTGATGTCCATACCCTCTACCTTTAAAGAACTGACAGTTCCCAGTTTTGAGTCTGTGCTTTTAAAAGCCCATGTTCTGTTAGAATAAGCTATTGTGCTTAAACTTTTTAAATATTGTACCTAGAAATTGCAATTAAAACAGATGTTTGCTTAGGTACATGTCATATGTAGCTGCCAAAAATTTGACTCTTGTTTCTTAACGTTATTTCCTAAATCATCACACTCTGTTTATGTGAGAATGACTGAATGAGGGAGCTCTAGCCCAGTGGCTAGAAATAACATTTTTCTCTCCCACGAAAGAGGCAAGAACAGCATCATGGAGCAGCCAGACCTCTCTAGGCAACTACCGCAGCATAACAACATTGAGTTATTTAGTAGAGAGTGAGGCACGGCCCTTAGAGCCGAATGGACCATGGGTAGCAGGCTAAGCCAGGAGGCCTGGTTCCTCTAGTGCAGCTAGCAGCACAGCCCCACACAGCAGCCAGTGGTTCTCAATCATGCAGTGGACGCCTGCGGGTGAACCTCAAATTCCCCCTAATGCAAATTCTTTCGATGGGTCTTACTAGCGAATGAGTTGCAATTCACAGCATTTCACTTTTATATAAGCTGCTTACTAGCAATTACTAGTTGAACGAGTTTAAGAGTTACTAAAATTTAGTGTTCAAAAACTAAAATTAGCTCATGGCTATGGTTTCCTGAAGATTTAGATTTTTCTAAGAAGTCCCTGCCACAAAGCACTTAACCATTTTCAGAGCTCTACTGTGCATGCCCACAACCAAGTGATAGTTGGAATTTCTATAATTTGGAGGAAGGATATTTCATTTCCAGGACATCATCCATGTTGTCTTAAGTTGTTCATGATTTTTAATTGCTGCTATTTTTTGCCTTTAATGGCAAATTACTGTTTAAGTTCATGATCAGGTGAGCTTGTTGTGGTTATGGGGTTAACCCTACAGTGTGTGCTATAATGTACATTTTTATTAACATTATTTTTGGTCTATGATTTTCCATCAACTAGACTTTAAGATGTGGTTGTATATGTTATGTTTTAACATGTGTATGCCTGTCACTACAGCACATGTATGGATACCTATCCCCAAATTTTTTTACAATGACATTTATTACCACTAAGTCTTTTTCCACCAAAGAATAGAAATATGGGACTAAATGGGCCGTGGAGTTCTCTGTTTTCCTGTCTTATCTGAATTGTTTGGCCCAAAGACATCCCTGGATCATTGACCCAAGAACAGAGAGATTTTAGTAGATGAATGTTAAGGGCATGTGAATCAAACACTTTTTTACATTTAAAACATATACATTGCATTGATCAGCTCAGGCTGCTATAATAATACACCATAGATTGGGTGGTTTAAACAACAGGAACTGATTTTTCATAGTTCTGGAGACTGAGAAGCCCAAGATTAAGGTGTTAGCCAGTTTGGCTCCCCAGTGAGATCTTTCTTCCTGGCTCACAGAAGACTGCCTTCCTGCTGTGTTCTTACAGGGCAGCGAGAGAGGGAGTGAGCTCTTGTCTCTTTTCTTCTTATAAGGAAACTAATCTCATCATGGGAGCCCCTCCCTCATGACCTCTTGTAAACCTAATTGCATTCCACAGGCCTAGCCTCCAAGTACCATCACATTGGAGGTTAGGGCTTCAACATATGGATTTGGGGGAGACACAACCATTCAGCCCATAATACATGCATTATTCAGGATACTTACAAAGTGTCACAATATGAAAACTTACTAATAAAGTATAGGAACTTTTAATTTCACATGAACTTGCTTGTTTTATGGCCTCTTCTGTTTCTTGCCAAGAAGTCTTAAATTTTCTTGTCTTTTGACTATGATGATGCTTCTATTAATAAACCTGAGCATTAATTCTATTTTAATTAGTCATTTTAATATAAATATATATAATTGCATTGTGTAGTACTGGAGGGCCCTGAAAAATATGATGGTTTCATCTTTTATTTTCAGATATGGAGGAATACAGCTGATCTCTAAGTGGACAGAGTAAGCACTTGCTCATATGATGGAGGCTGAGATATTCTCTAAGGCTATTCTATTGTAAAAATTCTGCCTGTCATTGCACTCAATGCCTCATAATATCATTCCTTTGAATTAAGACACCAGCACTTCTTAAAATACAAACATTTCTCAAGATAGGCAATAAGAATCATGATCAGCCTCCAAAATAGAAAGGAGCTGGGAACGAAGTTTGATGTTGAAAGGAATATTCTAGTTTAGTTTTTGAGAATGTGCCATTTCATACCTACAGTTGCTTTTCTCCATTTGTTTACAGTTTTACCTCTAACTCCCCAGATTCCTTCACTAATGGTAAGGCTATCTAAATGGCTTTTTTAGACTAAGCCTCATTGTATCTTGGTTGGGTAGGATACTTTTGCTTTTGTTTTTTTTTTTCTTTTCTTTTTTTTTTTTTTTTGAGACGGAGTCTCACTCTGTCGCCCAGGCTGAAGTGCAGTGGCGCAATCTTGGCTCGCTGCAAGCTCTGCCTCCCGGGTTCATGCCATCCTGCCTCAGCCTTCCCAGTAGCTTGGACTACAGGCACCCGCCACCACGCCCAGCTAATTTTTTGTATTTTTAGTAGAGATAGGGTTTCACCATGTTAGCCAGGCTTCTTCTTTGTAGTAATCAAACACACTGATTCTAACTTACAGAGCAGAGCATCAATGTATTGGTTTTCAAAGAGGGCTCTAGTTGCCCTAGGTCTATGGTTGCCAAGAAACAAGGCTATTTTCTAATGGTTGTAGGCCAAGGATTTCACAGGGCTTGATAGAGTTCTGGGACTTGTGTCTATGGAATAGG